CCTCTATTGACCTCTTCTGGATCCTCCAGAGTTTCACACCGCACACCCTGCCCTTCCCCGCACCCCCACCTCCCCTGCCCGCCCCGCCCTGCCCCAGCTCTGTTCTCTTGTTCTCTCATCTCTGCTCCTCTCTGGTTTACCCCACTTCCTCTCACCTCTTTGTCACTCCCCTACCCACCACCCCATCCTCTTTCCCCACCTAACCATAGATGTGCTTCCAACAGACCCTCTGACAAATGGGACTTCACCTTCTATCTTTGCTTTTTACGTCAACATAATGCTACACATATCACAGCTCATTGATTTTACAACATATATTTATAAGGTTATTTTTTATATAGAAAGCTAGACTTCTGAAATGTCACTGACTTCCTCTTGATTTTTTAATTAGCCTGCAAAGCTGCAGCTTTCTTTATGGCATTTTGTTACGTACGAAGTTTTAGTAAACTGTTCCCTGCCTCCTCTGTCTCCTCTCTCCCCATCCCTGCATGTACCCTTCCGGTCACTATTCTCCCCTTCCGTTTCATGTAATGTATGTTCTGTTACCCTCACAGACTGTTCCCTTAAACCCCCCCCCCCCCCCCGCTATTTTCATGGTTCTCTTCCTGGTTTCTTGGTATCTACATACCCCCTCCCACATAAATACACATCAGTAAAAATTAGAAGGCAGGATTTGCATTGTTACCTCACCTAATATTTTCTCTCTCTATCCATTTTTCTTTATGACTGAATAAAATTGCATTGTGTGTATATACTACATTGTTCTTATCCATCCACCTACTGAACATCCTTAACATTTAATGATATCAGTTAAATCATTTCAATTGTCTTCCTGGACTTCATGTTTAAAGAAGAAATTTGGTCTGGTGAGATGGTTGACTGGGTAAAGGCATTTTTTACCAAGCTTGGGGACCAGAGCTCAAACCCCTGTTCTCACATATGTGTGGAAGAAGAGAACCAACTCCTACAAGCTGTCCTCTGATCTCCACAGGTACACACACACACACACACACACACACACACACACACACACACACACAGATGTAATCTTAAAAATTAAAGGAAGACATTTCTTTCTCTAGAACTTTTGTTTCTAGACAGGTCTTCGGTGCCTTCAGAGCTAAGCTTCATGAACCAGGAAGTTTGTCAAGAGATCATGCTGCACACCCCAGTGTTCAGCCTTGTACAGTGAGTTTACTAATTGTCCTGACCTATTTGAACTGTGGTTTTCAGTAGCCACAGAGGTTCCCTTTTCTGGCCTGACTAAGTCCATTGTATAACTGGCACACTAGAATAGCTCTAACGTGGAGAAAAACACACAAGCGTCCTCCAGAGGTAGATGGGGATTGATTTCCAAAGCAGGGATTGATTACACTTCAGGCAACGGACTGATTTAGGGAGAAAAGCAGAGTCAATGAGGCTGATAAAATGATTTCTTCTATGATCACCAATGCAATTAAGAACTCATGTTAATTGAACAGGTGCGAACCCTTGGACATTTTCCTCTGGCCTTTATCACAAATAGGGATGGTACTGAAAAGAAGATGAGGGGTTGCTTTAGAGGAACTGCATTGTGTAGTTAGTAATGCCAGCTCCAGGGGAAAGAAAGCATTTTAGTAGATTCAGTGTTGTGCTGAAACATGCCTTGGCTTTTGAATCACAATAATATGCAGTTGATTCATATGGGATATTGAAGGCTATCAGGGAGGCATTTCTCTTGCCTCTCCCTCAACATCTCTTCCATCATGCAGCTTCTACCTCTCATTTTAAAAATCAAATTTATCAGGGAGAAATTTATCTCTTCTGGGTTTAAGCACATTACTTTTTGAATCACACTGTAAATGTAAAAGGATGCTCTGCTTTACCCTGCTTAGGTATTAAATACCAGGGATGCTATCTCTTATATTCTGATTAATTGAGCCTAGGAGGGACACAAGAATTTGCATTTTAAAGCATCCTCACTAAGTCTGGTATATGGATTAATATTCTGATAAATACTATTCTAACTGTATATCTTACACAGGAACAAGGCATCAATTATCAAATGTCTTCAGTTTACTTGGTATTGCTTTTCCCCTACAGTGTTTTGGGAGTTTAAAAAAACAAACTTCAGGAGGGTCATGCAGGAACAGCGCCTGCAGTGTAGAATGGTTGCCTTCAAAGACAGCGAACCCTCTGACTAGACTCAGCAGTTAGCCTGGGACCGCACTGGGTTTGTGTGGCCAGCAGTGAGCCGACAGTGATGTGGACGGGCAATCAAGCTGGAGTCCCTTTCTGGGCTTTGTAAGAACAAATCTTTCCTTTCCTTTTGCACCTTAGGCATGCCAGCCATTCCCCATCTCCCATAAAATGACACCCAGTGAGCCCTACCTTCTAGCAGCCACACCCTTGGGTAATACCCTACCCTAGTGTGGAATTTGGACCTGGTGGCTTAATTCTAATGCATACAACATCAACACCAGAAGTTATGGACGAGGTTATAAATGGCTCTGACTTCCACCTCACAAACATTCTCACCCTGAGGCAGGAAGTCACCATTTTGAGTTACCTTATTGAGATATCTGTGACTGGAAAGAGAGGACTGTCTCTAGCTAGTAAGAACCCCGGCTCCGAGTGCACTAGATCCCAATGCACAAAATTCTGCCATAACCACCTGAGTGAGCTTGGCAGTGGGTCCTTTCCTGGATGAATGTGTAGACATCACAGCCTCATCACACACCTCCATTGCAGCCTTGTGGATTGCGGCTAACTAACACCTCAGTTAGCCAGCTAAGCCATGCCCAATTCTATGCCCCACAACCAAAATGTGATACGATAAACAATGCAGTTTTAAGTCACTGACCTTTGGAACAATTTAGTATGTAATGATAAGTAACTACAGATTTGGGGAATGAGGGGCCTGAAGGAGAATGTAAACAAGAAAGGTGAGGAATTAATGAGCCCATGCTGACGCTGCACCATGCTTCCATCCAGGGATGGTCCTCCCTGAAGAGGCTGCTTCTGTCCACACTCCTCTGCTGGCGCTGAAGGGTTGCCTTTCAGGGGGAACTGCTAAGCCTTGCTGTTTCTTCCATTAAATCTCCAAGAATCTCAGCAGCACCACCCCCATGACACACATGACTGTCTTCTCTAAAACTTGCCACTGAGAAAGTGGCCATCACTCATAGTGGCAGTGTTGTTCCCAAACCCAAGCTGCTGGGCAGCAGTAGTCATTAGAATACAAACATTAAACCGTGTAACATTTCTAGGATTGAGAATGGCACAGCCGCTTTGGAAAGCACCATGGCAGTTTCACATATACTGCAATGCAATGCAGATATAACATATGAACCAAGTGTACTTCTAGGTATCTTTCTAAGACAATCTAATGTTCAAATAAGACTTACATTCACTATCTCTATCTAGTGCTATGTTCAAAGAGTTCAAAACTAGAAACAACACAAATATTCATTAATGAGTGAGTGAATGCTTGAATTGTGGCACATCTATGCAACGAACATTGCTCTTCAATGAAAAAGAATAAAGTACTGATATATGTAACATGATGAATCCTAACAGAAGCATTACACTAAGCAAGAGAAGCCAAACAAAAGTCCCACTTCAGTAAAATTCTAGAAAGACCATACTACAGCGGTCAAGGCTGTGATGTCCATCGGTCAAAGTTTGGTAGAGGAAACTGACTACAGAGAGCCATGAGGGGAATTTAGAGGAATGTAAATACCTTGACAATGCAGAAGAGCTCCCCCCTGGTGGTGAAGACAGGGGAGAGTTGGCGGTCTGACCAAGGCTGCAACTACCCAGGCCCAGAACCAGGATTATGCCTTGGCCTACTCCAGCAACAACCCCATCTGTGATCTGCCAGAGCATGGCGGGGGAGGGAGAGGAGTTGGTCCTGCAAAGGGAGAGCTGTAAGATCTCCATGACTCAGGGTAGCAATGGGATGTTCAGGAAGAGTCCCAGTGAGGGCCCAGGGTTGATTGTGTAGCAGAGACCAGGGGCCTTGAACCAGACCAATGATTCTTTAGGATGAACACCTGCATGTAAAAAAATAATCTATGGATAAAGGGGTTTACTGCGTGACTCGTGTCACACTGCAGCTTCCATGACGAGATTCTCCCTTTCTTCCTCCCTGCCCCTTTCTTCTCTTAATTTTTTTTTTGGGGGGGGTTGGGTGAGATTGGGAGATATGATGTGGAGACATGATGTCAAAGACACATTGAATAAATAAAAGAAAAGATTTTTAAAAGAAGGATATGCCGTACAGTGGTTAGAGACACATCAGTTGATAGTGTGCATACTGTGAGCCAGCCAGGTAGCAGGCTGCATTAGGCTGCTTTCTTCTTTGCTGTAAGGAAATATCACAGTTTTGGAGACTGCGATTCGGAACAGTATGATGTTCCTTCTGGCTCTAGGGTCCCCTCCCTACACCACCTCATAGTAGCTGGTATCATGGGGGTGGGGGGAGACCGAGAGACCAGCGGCCTATTGGAGAGCCTGCTCCAAGATTGCCTCCAGGGTATGCAAAAAAAAAAAAAAAATCCACAAATGCTGTGAGCACTAGACTTTTCCATCTGAGGGGGAAATAAGGAAGCACACACTTTCTGATTGTAACTTTCTCTTTCACCTTGAAAGATCTCTCTTCTACATAGCTACACATCTTTCCACATTGCTACATCTCTCTCGTCAACAGCTGCCTCTCTTCTCTACATCTCTCTTCCATACACATGTCTTCTCTCTACTCTGCTACATTCCTTCACACATTACTACATCATTCACGCTCACTCTCTCACTCTCTTCTATACACACATTTCTGTGCTACATACACAGCTCTGTCTCCACAGGAAAAACTCTGGACAAACATGAGTTACATTTTCAAGATCACAAAGTATTGAGAGAGAGAGAGAGAGAGAGAGAGAGAGAGAGAGAGAGAGAGAAGAGGGAACATGTCAAACAGGGAAGTCATTGTGCATTTGAGCATATTCAGGGATCAACACTTTCATTTCAAAAAATTACTGAGTATGGTTTATTGGGCACAATGTTTTGTTTCCACAGTCATGCATGAGAGAATATACAATTGTCTAAGAACACTTGGATATTTACAAAATGGCTGCTCACCAAGAGGCACAAGGAGGTATCAGAATTGCTGTCTTATGACTGCTGGGCTTTGTGACAGCCTTTTCCTGAAAACTACCTGGGGTCTCATAAGAGCCACACCAAATCCCCTGAGAGTGATGTCTCCCATAACTCCCCATAAACCTGTGAAATTCCGCATCACAACAGCTCTGTCCCATCTCCACACATCAGCACACTGAGGACAAAACTCCCAACACAGGTCCCATTCAGTACAACCAAACAATATCTGGACCATAACACAAGAAGTTCTCCAAACTCTTTCCATCAGAGACAAGAAGGATAATTAAAACCCAGAACATGTGTTCCCTTAGCAATTGTTTAGGATTTATAGCAGGGAAGGAGCGGGGAACACGTTCTATCCCTGACTGTCTTGCGGCAATTATAAAATGGAGACCAACTTTACCTGGCTTTATTACCTTTTGGAAATTCTTTGCTGCCCCGCTATTGCTGCACCTTGGATGAACTGTTCTGATCACTTCTCCCTGAAAACCACTGCCAGGCCTCCCTAGTTGTGTAGCTTCCTGGGACCCTTGAAGCACATCCCAAACCCAGAGACCAGTCTGATTGCAGACTTTGAAAACATCAGTATTGTTCAACAAGCATTATGGACAGCTTTTCACAGTCAGGGTCTCTTTCAGGTGTCAGCAATTTTAGGTAAAATGGTTCCTTGATCTCCATGTGTTGATGGCAGCCATTGTGAGCCACAGCAGCATGATCTCCAATTGGTCAAAGCACTAGGATTAACTAAAACCTTCGTGTGTCCTTTCTACCCCTTATCTTTCTCAGTGTTCTTTGTGGTGAGCATCTTTTTTTTTAAAGCTTTCTAACCTACCACATCTTTATAAGCTTGAAATGTGGGGCTCCAGCTGTAGGGGAAACATCTTCTCAGAAGGGGGAATCAGCAAGAAGGGATCCTGCACCCATTTACATCTATTAAGCCCATTTGTCCTTCTTACGGGCCAGTGACATTCAGCTGCCCATAGGATTGTGAAAGCCTCTGTTGGAAACCAATGCTCCTGAGAGTTTTTGATACAGGGTTGCAGCACGGATCCTCCATGCTTGTTATTCCTGTTATTCTGTACCACAGGCTAACGTTGACTCAGCAGGTACCTAGGCCAACCAAGTCACAAAAGCCCACGATAAAGTGCACATCAGCAGTTCACAGAGATAAAAGGCTCAGAGTGGAAACAGGGGAAGGTTAATGTCGACTGTTAGGGCTGCCATCATCCTCTACCTCTTAGGAGGGTTACCTCACAGCTCACCCTAGTTCTATGGGGTTTTTTAAAGCTACCTAACAACCCCTAATATAACAGTGTGATCTACACAGAGTACTTGAATCAGTGCCAGGGCGCTCAAGAAGCTGCTTCATGATTAGGCAAATGGCCCCTTAGTCTCTCCACGCTGATGATGAACAGCATGAGCCACAGCAGCATAGTCTCCATCTGGTCAGAGGTTGTTCCTGCTTTCCCAAGACTTTCTGACAGATGGGTGGGACAACCATGGCCCTCACACCATCCAAAGAAACGTCAGGTGGAATCATAGACCCGACAATGAGGCTCTTTAGAAGCCTTTGACTGATTTCACACCTTTTATGTTAATGGCTACAGAGAGAAGGCAATTATCAATGAGGGAATTTTGTGTTTTTGTTATTTTGGGTTTGGGCTGGAAAGGGTGTGTGTTAGTATTGTAACAACTTCTTTTCGAATGAATGTTCCATCTCTCTTGTAAAATAAGATCTATCTCAACAATTTCTTCATGGGGTGACAGTCATTGGCTGACATGAATGGCATTAAAAAATAAAGTAAGGGAGTGACAGTTTTTAATTTGACTGTATAGGATCACTAATTTTTGGCACACACAGGAGAAAAACTGGTGAAGAAAGTCATTATCAAACATAACTAATATGACACTGTGCCATTTGCAGAGAAACCTGACTGGCCGTTTCTCATCTGCTCATTTGCATGGGCTTGTACGAGTTCTTAAGATCTTCAAAGACAAGACTTGAGATCAACTCTTTGGGGCTGTTTTCTGTTCTGCTGAGAGTGTTTGTAACTGCCAGGGGCAGGTGTGTGCATGAATTAGCTTACCCATGTCAAGGCCAATCACAGCTGTCTAGAATCAGCCTGGCAGTAGCAGACTGAAGAGCACAAATTTCAAAAATGACGGAAATTCGATTGAGTCAAGAGAACCAGAAACTTCAGGACCACAGTGAATCTCATTGCCTGGTGGGGATAAAGGTAGGAAAAGGCATGTGGCGCTCGTCACTGACACTGTGACTCCGGAAACCTCCGTAATCAGTATTGACTGTGTGGCTTTGTGTATTTTCAGATGTGCGATGGGCAGCTTGCCGGCAGCTGTCACCCAGGGAGAGGGGTCCAGTCACTTGTCCCCTTCTACTCCCCTGAGACTTCACTGGGACACTGGAACTCAAAAGCAGCTTTTACTTTGAAAGCTTTGAAAGCCCTTTTATTTTACAGATTATATGTGGTAAACCTTGCTTATTATCTGCTCTATAGCTTGCAAATCTTCCAACTTCTTCTTGTTGGTGACATTTATATGAAGATGGGATTATGTGTAGGTCTGGAGTTTATATTAGTATTTTTTTATTCATTGTCATACAACAAACACATACCAAGAACCCACTTGCCAGGAATACACAGATAAGCTATCTATTTTAGAGATTATGCATAGTTTCGGGTCTTGATGCTCAGTGTGCTGTGCTGGGGGCCCTGGGTCTAATTCTAGACTCTGGTTTTGCTGGTCGGCATTTTCTTTGCGTGGCTGAAGAGTTTTGGGGAATGGTCCTTTGAGGATCTACCTTGGTTGAGGCTTGCATGGTTGAATGTCTAAGCAGAGCAGCACAAGACAAGGCCTCCTGCTGAGTGATATAGCCTGAGCAAAGAAATGAGAGGAATTTCAAGGTCAGTATTTTTCTTTGAAAGGTTTATTTAGTTTTATGTGTATGAGTATTCCACATGTGTGCCTGCTGTCCCCAGAGGCCATAAGAGGGTGACAGACCTCCTAGAGCTGGACTTGCAGGTGGTTGTTAGCCAATTGGGTGATGGGAAATGAACCCAGGTCCTTTGCAAGAACAGCAAGTACTCTTAGCCAATGAGCCATCTCTTCAACTCAACAATTTTAGAACAAAAATATTCACAGAGGCAAACAAAAGTTCTACTTCCATGATTAGCATGCCCTGGTTATACTGTCTTTGAGGACAAGGACGTGTTTATTTTTTATTTTGCATTTTACCTTCAGTGGGCATGATGGTTAATCTTCACTGTCAACCTGAACGACCTGGATAGCCTAAAGATTGTTGAGGCTCACCTTGTGTGTCTGTCTCTCTTTCTAGAGAAGATTAACTGGGGGAGCCCCTTCCTGAATGTGGGTGAGTACCCATACTCTCTGTTCCCTTCTTCCTGGCTGTCAGGATGTGAAAAGCTGTCCTATATTACCCCTTCCATGTCATGATGGACTGACACCCCTAGAAACCATGAGCCAAAATAAGTCCTTCCTAACCAGAGTGGTTTCTGTAAGATATTCTGTCACATGAATGAGAAGAGCTAAGTAACACAAGTTACTATAGTCACCAACTAGCATGTCAAGACATTTGGAAAGAAACTTGAGTGATGAGTAGCCTTCTCACGTTACTTATCTTAGTTATCAAAACTTTCTTCAATTCAGAGAAAGATACTCTCTGGTTAAAAAGATAAAAAAGATTTCTTTCAGTGTTTCTCAAAATATGGTCTTCACTGTACCTACTAGATGCTCTGAATCCATGTGCTTTTTAAAAAATCCCATTATAATTCAAAACTCTACTCTCTTCAAAGACCTTCTGAAATGGAAGCCGAGAAAGCAAGGCATGGGAATCTGCATTTTAGTAAGATGACAACTAGATTTTATGAACATTACTAAATGCCTCTGCGTTTAAGTTGATTGGCTTCTTTGGCATTTGGCTCTGAAAACAAAACCACCAGATGGTGCTTCCACCATATTTCAGACACTCTTCAGTAATCACCAAACTCCAGGTCCTCGTTTACTAGTTTTATGACTGTGGTAAAGTGATTTAACTCATCTGGGTTTTAATTTTCTACCTGAGTTGGAAGGACTGTGCAGCGGAGGGGGCAAGCAACTAGAGGCCTTCCTGTAGGATAAAGGAATTGACAGCCATGAAGCCTTGTAGCAGGTTGATGCTCATGATGTGTTCATGTCTTTTGAAACCATGGTTTCATCTGAGCTTTGTAAAATCTGAGTGGATTTGGTAGAAAGGAAGAAAGCAAAGTATGAGCAGATGGAAGCCATGGTCTTTGGAGAAGTCACCTCTCGCCTGAAGTCCTCTTTGACGATGGCTGCCTGAATGGTCTTCATCAAATTACAGAACTGTGTGGGATCCTAGTTCTATAACTATATTGAACATAATGCCCTTGGCAGGATGTAGGGGCTATGCCAAATGCTGAAACACACAGTTGTTATTGTTGGGAGTAAACTGTCTTTGATCTCACACAAACAGGAAGGAGGGGAACCATTGTTGCAGCTTGTGTTGGCTTTCCAAGTCCAGTGTATCGATCTACTAGATCAAGTTCATATAAATCTCAGAGAGTTGTTAACATTTTATAAGAATCCATACTCTAATTTCTTTAAACCCTCTTAATTCACCTATAAAACTTCACTGTCTATTGTCAGGGATAATCATTTTTAAACTTGGCTAGCCAACCATGTTGATAAAATAGGCCGGCAGAGGCCATTCTTCTTGGATTATTTATCTGGAAATGTGACTTCTGGCTGTAATGAAAAGTTCCCTGCTGATATGCCTAGTTCTGGTAAGGTAGTTAAACTCACCCAGCTGCTGCTGGTACCCAAGGCTGTGAACGTAGCGGGTCTGCAGGGCCTTCCACTGGGGCCTGGAGTCATAAATCCTCATGATGCTGTAGAAGTAGCGTTGCTGCCCTTGATTTAGGTCCTGTTGGAACAAAGAGGTGACTTTGATAAACTCCTATGTCATTAAAAGTGTAACACATTCCAAACTAGTGTCTACAGGAATAAGACGCTTCTCTTAAGGTGACACATATTTTTAAGGAGCCTGGGACATGAATAATCAGGAAATTGCCCTTCACCATTTGTGTAAACAGTCTTCTCCGTGTCTGGATGACGATGAAGTAAAAGGTGTGGATGACAGGGAAGGAGAAGGTTCTAGGTGCTCTGAGTCATAATTGTATACTGAAGGAGATATAAACGCTTCCAGGATGTGAGGATTTTGGTGATCTTTATTGAGAAAAATAGGTTGTGGGAATCTACACAGGGCGGAGGAGGAGGATTCCAGATAGCTGAGATGTTCAGTGGAAGTTCCCAGTAAGGAACTGGGACAAACAATCAAGTGGACAATGTGCTAGGAGATTAACATTGGCAGTAAAAAAGGGCCATGGGAACAGAGGAGCCAGGCATGGTGGTACATGCCAGCCCTTAGGAGGGAGGGGACACAGGAGCACAAGTTCAAGGCCAGCTTGATCTACCAGTGAGTTCTATGCCAGCAGGGCTACATAGTGAGATCTTATTTCAAAGAGAGAGAGAAGGAGGGGGCGGTAGAAAGATCAGAAGTTTCAAGTCCTCCTTAACCACATAGTAAGTTGAAGGCCAGCCTGGGCTACATGAAACCCTGTCTCAAAAATAAGTGGGGAAACTGTGATAATGGCATGAACCTTCTAGAAAAGCCAAGTTAAAATAAGTTTGTCCTGGATACAAAATGCCTAAGAGACAAATTTCAAAGCCAACTGGAAACCATGTGGGAAAACTGCTCTTACACTTTTACATATATACATAGGTTAAGGTGACTTACTGGTTAGACATTTTGTGTGGGACTAAAATCTGAAATCTGTGAGACAATTTGTTGTAGCACGAATCTTAAAAGGTCTTATTAATAAAAACAAACCCAGGAGCCAGGTATTGGGGTGAATGCTGGAAGATCAGAGAAGCTTAACAAGCCACAGCCACCTCACCTTGCCAGTTCCTCAGCTGATCTTGTTTCCTCAGACTGGAAGCCTCTGAGTCCTCATCCAGAATGAATTTCAGCTGAACTACTGCTAAAAAGCCTAAAAGCTTAACCAGCTCTAGTTCCTGGTCCTCACGCCTTATATACCTTTCTGCTTTCTGCCATCACTTCCTGGGATTAAAGGCGTGAGTCACCATGCCTGGGTGTTTCCAGTGTGACTTTGAACTCACAGAGTTCCAGGCAGATCCCTGACTCTGGAATGCTAGGATTAAAGATGTGAGTGTCACCATTTTCTGCCCTCTCTGTCTGTCTAGTGGCTGTTCTGTTCTCTGACCCCAGATAAGTTTATTAGGGTGCACAATATTTTAAGGAACACAAAATCATCACAATTTGTTTTTAAGTCTAGAGTCTTTGAATTTGATATTAAAAGTAAACCCAGAGTAAAAGTAGCCAGGCCAAGAGCCTCACAATGCAAGACATCAATTCACTCCCTGTTTCTATATTATGTATGCTTGGGGATAATACATTTGAAGAAGAAAATGGATTTCATTCCTGAGTAACTAATTAAGCCTTTCACATGATTGCAGACAAGATAATAGGAAAATTGCTAGCCCACTTCCACAGCAAAGCTCCCCAGTACAATGGGAATTTTCCTTATATCAGATAAAAAAAATCTTGAAAGTTACAGTTTTTATTTTATCAAGAAAAACTATGCCTACTTCCTTCCCTGTGTAAAACTTTAAACATCCTAAATGAGAAGTCAGCAGCAGGTTACGTTTCTCATGCTCTTACATTGCCTCCTCTCTTTCTTGGAAGAGATGGAAGAAAAGTGAAATTGCTACAGAGTTCCTGTGTGAATGGCTATAATTAGCTTGGTGGGAAAGACATCTCAAGCAGGAAGCCACGATGTTGATGTTGCCAATTAAGTGAGTTCCCATGGTGGTGGGACAGCCAAGAAAGGAGAAGACCACTTCTCAGACTCCAGCCACTGGGGGTGTTTAGGGTTAGGCGGTCCTGATCCACCTTCATTCACTCCTTCAGCAGGCACTTACTGTGGGGTCAGACAATACCCACTTCCCACACAGACAGTTGAAAAAAAGTCTTCAACCCTCCAAAGAAAGAAGAAAAGGCCTCCCTCTTCCAACAAGATGTGGCACCTTTAGTAATGAATTGTCAACAGCAGAGGCAGGCACTTGAATGCGAGGTATTTGTGGAACATTCTGGGGCTGGTACTGCTTTTTCAAGTTTCTCCTCATTTTTCTTTGTCTTGTACCTCCAAGGAATAACAGACACAGAATCAGTTTTCATTCTGTTTAACCAGCTTTGGGATAGACCTAAGACAGTTAGTAAGCAAATAAGTAATAATTTTTTCCCCAAGAAGAATATTTTCTCCTATTTCCAAGTAAGGAGATGTCTGCAGTCTTCTAGCATCCTGTCTTTTCCAATCCTCCCTCGTCATGATGGAAGGAATCATCCAGAGTCCTTGTCTTCCTGCTTCCCTGTGTGCAGAGTGGGTATCTTATAGAGACATACCAGTCTGTAGCAGTTACTTCTTTACAATTTTAAATAGTGCTGTAAGCTTATCTGGCTCTAAAAGAAATGTCTATGTCTTTGCGAGTTTGGGGGGTGGGGAGGGGGCGCGCAGAATTCAAATTGGAGAAGAAAATAAGATTATCCATCCTTAAATACTGTTGGCATTTGATTAGTTTCCATTTATTTATTTAGTTAGTACATATTGTATTTGATTTTAGGAAAAGGTGATCACAATACAGATATGTTATGAACCCCCCTAGGTCATTAAACGTTTCCTAAAATACAACTGCTAGCAGACACAAAGTATATCCATTTCTTGCACCTTTAGATCTACAGTTTTACACCACAGTGCTACAAAATAAGCTGTGACTCCATCATGTTTCTCTCCCCTGCCTGACAAAGATCAGAACGAAGGACTTTTGTGCAGTGACATGTCCTTTCTCAATGGATTAGGGTTTAGAATCTAAGGTCTATCCAATAAGGGAAAAGTGCTGTGGGACGGTCTGTATGTCAAATACGTTGCTCTGATTGGTTAGTAAATAAAACACTGATTGGCCAGTAGCCAGGCAGGAATGATAGGCAGGACAAGCAGAGAAGAGAATTCTGGGAAGTGGGAGGCTGAGAGAGAGACACTGCCAGCCGCCACGATGACAAACAGCATGTGAAGATGCCGGTAAGCCACAAGCCACGTGGCAAGGTATAGATTAATAGAAATGGATTAATTTAAGCTATAAGAACAGTTAACAAGAAGCCTGGTACGGCCATACAGTTTGTAACCAATATAAGTCTCTGTGTTTACTTGGTCGGGTCTGAGCAGCTGTGGGACTGGTGGGTGAGAGAGATTTGTCCTGACTGTGGGCCAGGCAGGAAAACTCTAGCTACACCAAGAGTAGCAACAGGCCCTCTAAATATAGCAGACTGCTATCAATACCTGTATCACCGGCTAACTAGAGAAGAGGACCTGGAATAAAGGCCACTCAGACCTGAGTTTCTTCCCTTGTTCTTCCCCTCTGGCCATCTTCATGGTGGTAGCCATAATGTCTGCCTCATAGTTTATTGAATTCACTGAGTCATGAGTCCAGAGCTCTCTTTCTACCTGCCCCTAGTGAGTGCTCATGCATGCACATACACATTCTTCAAAATATTTCAATAGCCAGGCGTGGGGCACACCTTTAATCCCAGCATTTGGTGGCCAGAGGCAGACAGGTCTCTGTGAGTTCCAGGCCAGGCTGGTCTCTACAGAGAGCTCCAGGACTACATAGAGAGACCTTGTCTTAAAACCACAATGAAAATCCCAATACATGTGAGAATTATGATTGGCTCAGATATGAGGTCTAGCCATGGGGATCTTCTATAGCTGAAATTTATTATAGAAACACCAGTCAGCATCTCTTTGTGTTCTGTTTCCATGATATAAGCTCATAAATAAAACTATGAATATTTTATTTAATATCACTTTTCTTTAGTGGGCACCCAGGAATCTGTACCAATCGACATACTCTTTGCATGTTCTCTCTGATTGAAACCCACATTCTTTCCTGTACTCAAATTATTTCGAAATCCCTCCTCCCATTTTCCAGGTCTGCAGAGCAAAGAATAAATATTCTTCCAAGTTAGAATGATTCCTTCTGTCTTCAAACAGTGCGAGAAAATGACTGATGATGTTTCTTGTGGCAACAGCTCACGTATGCTTTTTCTTGGGCTATTGCTGAAGAAATCCATCTTACCCATTCAAGTGGTCTACACAGGATAAAGTTTGCTTAAAATGCCTGGAGAATGCGTGGAAAAAACAACCTACACGTTAAATGAAATCCGAAACCAAAAGACAAATTTGCTTAAAAAGAACTTACCTTATATCGTGGGTCCCTGTTTTAAATGCTAACATTCATGCCCCAGGTAGCTTTCTTGCAACGTTTTCTAGTCACACAGCAGTAGCAGGAATTCCGTATGTTGATAAACTAATATCCAAGCAACACCAGGAGATGAAACAAAGAACTGGGGAAACTTGGCTACGTGCCTTTCTGTTTGTGGGTGACATTCAAGAGCACAGCTGAGGTTTTTTTTGTTGTTGCTGTCCTACATTTCAGATCTAATGAAGGGTTAATTTCTAAACCTATTATATCTGCATTATATACAGGAATAGCAGAAAAGTTCATGGAGATAGATGCTTAGGGTTAAAGGTAAAGAAATCTATTAGTGCAACAGCCCACTCTATGCGTACGCCCCAAATTTGGAGTCAGAAACATCCATTCCCCTTGCTCAGAATGGTGAAGAAATGGTTCCTACATACATAAGGCAGGAGTTCGACTGTGATAACCTATGGAATCACATCATAATTCAACACAATGTCCTCCTTCCTATTTCTTGGGGGGAGTAAGGTATTCTCTACACTCATGTTGCTCAGAAGCTACATGCATGACAGAAGATATTGCCTTTCTCTGTGATGGCGTTATTATTTCTCAAGAATCCTTTTTGCGGGGCTATGTGAGGGGTGTGCCAACATGGAAGATTAGAAGCAGTTTCCATGAGATTCCAGGATTGAGAAAAGTCAGATGGAAGGGGGAGGGATGTTAGGCAAAGAGGGAAAACATAGAAGGGTGTGAGAAAACACAAAGGAATTCAGAGACAGAGAATAGTCTGGAGAAATACAAAGGCTAAGCAGCAAAAAGCGAGGAGCCAGTCCAGCAGGCTCCCAGCGGAAGAAAGGGAGCCAAAAACTCTTCCACAATGTAAGCCAGGCCAGCACAGGCCTGGTGAAATTGCTCACTGGGTAAAGATGTTTGCTGCCAAGCCTGACTACCTGAGTTTGATACTCACATCCACACTGGAGAGAACAAACTCTCAGGAGTTTTCTACTGACCTACTACACACACACACACACACACACACACACACACACACACACACACACACACTCATGTATGTGTTTCTTCATATATGTATGAAGAGAGTCAGTCCTACACACAGAACAAGTTTACAGTTCTCACAAGTCCTAAATCCATCTGGGGATTTGGCATGACAGATTTGTGGTGTGCCACAGTCAGAAGTCCATGTGGCACTCTCTATACTCAGGGGCTATTCCCAAACTATCAGGATAGGGGGCATATTGCTTAAGACTGGACTGCTCAGGTCTGAAAACACTGAGGTGTCTGCACAAAGCAGTGATGGCTCCTCTGAGAACTTGATAGGGACGTGCTTAGAAAGCTGCAGGAGGTTCAGACTGTGAAGCCTGGTGGCCCTAGATTCTTTGGCTGGAAACAGGTAACTCCATGGAGATTGATAGCCCCGAGCCAGAAGTCAGCAAGGCTCTGGAACTGCATGGCTTCCTCTTTGCCATGCAGTTCTCAGGTCCCGTGGACATTATTGCATACTCTATACTGTAGCGTGTTTAATATTGAGCAAGATTGGGTCCTTCAGCAATCCAATCAGTGTTTCATTGCCTCTCCCATACCCTAATATCCTCAGGAGACACCCCTTTGCCTTAGACATTAGCAATCCAAAGATGTACAAGCTGAAGAATCCCCTGAATGGGAGCCTGCCTGGCCCGCAGGTGCCAAAGCTGCCTGTGGTCAGAAGCGGCTCCTCATACACAAAGAAATGATTACAGCAGCTGACCCTCAACCATGCCAGGCTCAGCACCAGGTCAACAGAATAAAGCTTTCATTAGTTTTGCCATTTGCTTTTCTATTGGTGGTTTAACAGTTGCTTTTAAGTATATTTCTTTGTCTGATTTTTGTCTGGAGTTGTTATTGCTTTTATGACAACTTATTACCTTCATGTTGAGTGGTTCGAGATTTGGGGCCCTCTAGTGAAGACTGCTCACTAAAGAGACTCACAAAACCAGAAAATGTATCCATCCCAATAGATGCATAAACCATAACACAGAAAAAAACAAAAACCATGAAAAACCAAGGCAAAAATTATTCTTCTAAAAGATCATAATTAAAAAAATGCAAAGACACTGGGTAATGGATGAAACACTGGGTGACAGATTCAGAATTTTTTTTTTTAAAAAAAAAATCGGTGCCTGCAAAGTGGATACACACAATCAGACTATTGAAGCAAAAACTCAATTCAGGACCCAGAGAAGAAAGGAGAAACATAGATGGGAATCGGTACCATGGATGAGAAACTTGATACTGTGAGCAAGGGAAAGGAAGGGAAATTTAGCCAAAAAGCAAATAGAAAAGTTAGACTGGCTAAGACTAAGAAAACAAGTGACAAACGCTTTTGAGACCAAAAGGAGAAGGAGCCGCATGCACTGTTGGTGAATTCCAGCAGAGGGACAGCCTCTGTAGAAATCAGCGTGGTGCTTTCTAAACATCTAGACAGAGATCTACTGTGCGACCCAGCTACAGCACTCCTGGGCCTATGCCAAAGAACCCTACTTGCTACTGCAGAGCTACGCGCTCATCCGTGTTCATCACTGTTCTATTCACAAGACCAAAGACACAGAAACAGCCTCGATGTCTACCAGTTGAAGACTGGCTAAGGAAAATGTGGAGCCAGTATTCGTTATGTCTCCGCTGCTGAGACAGAGCACTCTGCCCAAAGCAGCTTAAGGAAGAAAGGATTCCAGTTGGATGGAGTCCGTCAAAGCTGGGAAGGCATAGTGACTGGCTGGGAAGGAGTAACAGCAGGAGCAAGCGCCTGGCTAATCACATTTCTCCCACAGGCGTCAGAAAGAACACAAAGAAAAGCAAGACTATAAACTCTCAAACCTGTCTCCCCGTGACAGATTTCCTCCAGCAAGGCTCCACTTCCTAAAAGCTCCATAATCTTCCCAAACAGCACCACCAACTGGGGGTCAAGTGTTCAAATAATGAGGCTATGGGGGCCATTTCTCATTCACATCAACACAGCACCTATACATGATGGAATTTTATTCAGCTATAAAGAAAATGAAATTAAGAAAGTGGAGGGATGGAACTGGAAAACATTATACTGAATGAGGTCACCCAGACCCAGAAAGAAAAGCACTGTGTGTTCTAACTCATAAGTGGACCCTAGCTTTGAATCTTTAGGATTGTTTTTATTTTATTTTTATTTTGAGTACCATTAGAAGCTAGGGAACTAGAAAGGGACCATTGGTGGAGAGGGGGAAGACAGTGGTATGAAGGGGGAAGAGGGAATAATGATGGGGGGATAAATTTAAGTGGGGAGAGGGATGGGAGGATAGGGCAGAGGAAGGTGTTGGAGGAAAATTACTAACACTGAGGGTGATTTTAAAAACCATATAGGCCATATATGCATACACACACACACACACACACACACACACACACACACACACACACACACACATTGGAACTACGTTACACAGGGAATAGTGTATAAAAGTCCAGTGCCAGGTATGAGATATGTTCCCTCAAGTTATTCGTTGCAGGTGTCCTAAGACCTCTAAAACAGTACAGGGAATTGTCATTGCTGTTGGTGCTCACAAGAGCTGGATGATAAGACCTTATTGTAAAGACATCACCTACTTTAGTCATAGGACATGGAAAAAAAATCAAGCTGGTACTGACCAGGAGCAACAGTCGTACCCAGCTGTGAACCCTATGAGCTACAATAATGACTGACCTGGTAAGATATGCCCATTGGTGTCACAGCAGCATGAATGTTAGGGGAGTAGTCAACTGTTTTCTATTGGATCTAAGGCCACGCCATGGGAGGAAACCCATATCTGGTACTGTAAATCCGGCCAAGAAATCATGGCCGGCGAACTCATAGGCCCCAGAAGTGAGAGTCTAGTCCTATCATTTTGTTAAATGAACACAATATCCAACTGCCTTCTAAATGTGTATCTCTGTACCCACAGTCTAGGGCTGACCTCAGAATCCATCAGGGAAGCTTTGTCGTGCAGTGGAAGGCAGTTAGTGCAGAAACCTGCAACTTATCAAAGTGCAGAGGATAAGTGTCTATGGCATGCTCAGACATAAATGGGGCATCTATATCCTCTGTGCCTTACAGCTCAGGACCATCATGGAACAGGAGGCAGAAAGATTGCAAGAGCCAGAGGCCAGAGAGGACAAGGGCAAAACAGTGTCTTCCAGACATGACACGACAATACATCCATGGACTTACAGTGGCTGTTTGCCTGCAAAATAGCTGCATGAGATAAAACCAGTCAACATTCCAGTGCGGAGGGGAGAGGGGCTCAGGAGCCCCCACGCCTGGCTGAGGAGCTATTGACAATGGATGGCGTCTGGGGTAGGGAGAGTCCATTTTCTTTCGTGTGTGGCCCTTGGTAAGTCAGCTACGCTCCAGCAGATGCCCTCACATGTAGGAGCACATGGGCAGCACAAAGACTCGGGGGCTATGATAAAACAGGACATGGAATTGGGAGGAGACAGGGTTAGAGGCCACATCTGGGAGGAGTTAGAAAGAGCAGAGAAAATATGATCAAAATAGATTGCATGCATGTATGAAATTCTCAGAGTTAATTAAAATAGCATATATTTAAAAAGAAATATTGGAAATGCAAACTTCAAGGATCCAAATTAAAAATCACAGTGGAAATCATCAAGTAGAAGGAAGAATGCCAGAAATGGCGGGGGGGGGGGGGGGGGGAGAAGTATTATATTTATTTATTCTTGTCTTTTTAATTTCTAGAAGTACTTAGACACTAGTGCTTTATTTTAATTACCACATAATTTACTTTCATAATTCTGAAATACAACCTAGAGAGCAAGCCTAAGAATTCATAGAGTAGATTAAGAAGCTGAGGTGAAAACTAAAAGCATAGGAAATATATTTAATAAAACTATAGCAAAAAAAAAAAAACACCCCTCAGTCTAGGGATGAAAATGGACATTTAAACATAAGAGGTATTTATAGCCCCAAGTACTCATGACCAGAGAAGAACCTCCGTTCCGGTCAAGACGTCAAAACTTCAAAGCAAATAAACAGTGTTAAACCTGTGAGGGGAAAATGCCAACTCACCTCCAAAAGCTGAAACCCAAGAATGAATGAGATCACGACTGAAACTCCCAAGCCAGCGGGGACTTAGAAAGTGTGGGATGCTAGACTCAGAGCCCTGAGAGGGAATAACTGCCAACCAAGATTCGGATATCCAGTAAAGTCCTATAAATTAAGGGGAAATGGAGACATTCCTCCGTAAGATTTTAGCTTCTTTCTAGGGTTGGGGCCCACGAGGTTTTACCCAGCCACACTGGCATGTCAGCTGCTGAGGCCAGTGTTAAGGTTTTGTTTAAGATTTCAGACATGGAGTTGCCCCGTCGTTTCTTGAAGGCACAGTCTTGCAACAGGCTTGCTGGTCCTCTGGCCCTTACAATCTTCCTGGGCTCTGTTCTTTGATGTCACCTGAGCCTCGGCAGTAGAGGTTGTGCTATAGATGTACCAGCTGTTGCTGGGCACCCCGTGGCCAGCTGTTTTCTGCATTTTGACCAACTGTAGATTGCTGCAGTCATCCCTATTTACTGCAAAAACCTTTTCTGATGAATCATGAGAACTCCACATATCTGTGATTATAAGGATAAATATTTAGGATACTCACCAAGTATCATATTTTTAATGTATTTTTCATATATCGTTTTCTGACTGACTTCCATTCTCTCTTCCAGCTCCCTCCAGCACTATTGACATAGCAAAGGTACAGAACCAACATACATATAGATGAACAGACGAATGGCTTTTTAAAATGTGCATATATTCAAGGGATTATTTTCAGCAATAAAGGATACTAAAACCATTTCATTTTGCAGGAAAATGGGTGAAACTAGAGATTAGGTTAAGCAAACTTAGACAGACTCAGAAATATAAACATCATGTTTTTGTTCTCATTATATAGCAAATATATGTGTGTACATACACACACACACACACACACACACATATATATATATATATGTATATACACACATATATTTGATAAAGAATTGGAGTGGGGAGAAGGAGAGGACAGTGGGAAAGAATAAAAAAGGCATGCTCTCTCTCACATGTGAAGCTTGGCTATATACATATATATGTATATATATGTGTGTGTGTGTGTGTGTGTGTGTGTGTGTGTGTGTGTGTGTGTGTATGAAAGACATGAAAATAAAAAGGGGGACATTTGCAGGGAGAGACAGCACTGGTGAGAGGTGAAAGGTGACAAGAGAGGACAAGGGAGGCAAATGAATGAATTACAATAATCCACATGTATTAAATGTCATCAACTTATTTTATATGCCTACTAAAAAATCAATTAAAAACTGTCACATATGAAGGAATGAATTTAAAAGGCACCCTGAATACAATGTATCTGCAAAGAGAAAGAGTTTGAGAGAAAACAAAAGCAGAGATCGCAGAAGAAAACATGGATTGAAAATTCTTTGGCTGAAGGGAAGAAAAGGCTTCAGGAGATAAGAGCATTGAATCACACACCTTAAAGATGAAAGCGTTCAACAGACTTAAAGGTTTGCAACTCTTGTCAATAATTTGAATACATTCCTTCTGGAAATGAGCATGGTAGAGACAAGATCAGCAACCGTCGGCGGAGAACATGAAGCCTCACACAGGATC